TTGGCAGTAGGAGCGATGGCGTTGCTGCACGCTTTGGGTGAGGATACTGTTTTTAAAAAACTGCTGGTTTGGTCCAAGAGAAGGCTCTGGCTGGGCTTGTGCCTACCTGGGAAAAGCTTGGGACAGGCAAACTTTTTTTTTCTTTTTTTTTTTTTTTTTTAAATTAATCCATAATTTGGTAAACTGCTCAGCAGTAGCGTTAATTAAAATATCGGTACCTCACCATTTTATGTTGCCTAGTAAGGCTATGGCCATTATCCATTTTGTTACAAAATTATTTTTGTTGGTTTTGTGCAAATTTTCCCATTAAAAAACAATATATAAAAATGCAACATGCAATCCACAGGGAGAAAAAAAAATATAGAAAGTGCCAGTATTTTTATGGCTGAAAATAACCCTCGTGGAGAGAGTCCCCGTTCCCAGGGGCGCCGGGCAGAGCCCCGACCAGCTCAGCGCACATGTGGCGAGCTGAGGTTGGGGTTGTCCCATCCCATCTCGTCCCGTCCCCTCCTCCGGCCGGCCCACACGCACACCCAGCTCTCCTCCTCCTCCTCCTCCTCCTCCTGTGAGGCCTCTTGTTTGCTCCCCCCAAATGACCTCAATGTGTGGGGTGGGGTGGTCCTTGCCGGCCATGGCATCCAAACCCACCGCGGAGATGGGAAAGGTGACCTCCTCCTCCTCCTCCTCCTCCTCGGCAGGGACCCAAGGTCCTCAGGATTGTGAAACCGGTATTGCAGCCGGGCGGGAAACCTCCTTCTTACCGGGAGAGAAGTCCACACGTTTTGGGGGGGCCGCAGGAAAAGACCCCCCACTCCCTCCCTCACCGCAGGACCCCGGAGTGGGGTGGTGGTGTGTCTTGGGGCCAGCCAGCTTAAGAGATTTGGGTTTGGTTGGGGGTTTTTTTTGTATTATTATTTCTTCTGGCTGGGAGTTGGCGGCTGTTTCGCAGCATCACGTGGGGAAGGAGGAGGAGGAGGAGGAGGCGGGAGGCCACGGTGAGAGGCTCCTGCTGAATTACCCCGCCGGCGTCAGGGCATCGCATCCCGGGGAGGAGGAAACGTTGGGGAGCACCCGCGATAACACACACGGCCACCCTTGTTCGGAGCTGGTGGAGCAAAAAAAATAAAAACACAAGAGACATCTCAGCCATCCCCGTTGGCCTCGACACCCCGGAGGAGGAGGAGAAGGGAGGGGGGTCAGGGGAGCCGTCCCGTCACCCTTTCGACATCCGAAAGTAAAGTCTTGGCCGTGACCCGCCAAGCGCTGATCGGGGAGGTCTCTCCTGCACGTGCTCCTTTTCGTTTGGTTTTACTTTTCTCCCTCCCTCCCGGGGCCAACCAGCCCCTGCTGGGTTGGAAGGGAGGGGTGTGGGGGGGAAAACCATCAAAAAAAAAAAATATATATAAATTTTTCTATCCACCCACTGCTTTCCCCAGCCCCCCGGGGGGGTTTCGGTATCACGAGCGCTGGCCACACGTGTTAGTGTTTGCCCAGGTCCCTGATTTCCCCCCTTTGGCCCCAATTCCCGGATGCCCCTCTCCTCCCCACAGACCCCATGGGACCCGGGGGGGGGGTAGGGGGTGGGGAAGGAAGGGAGGCACCGCCGCAGCGGCTGCAAGAAGGGAAGAGTCCCGGAGGGGAAGGGCTGACGGGGAGGGCAGATGTAGAGCTGTTTTCTTGGGTCTCTGGTGGCGCAGGTGGAGGGACGGCCCCAGTGTATTTCATAGAAAGAGAGAGCCCATTAGTGCCCTCACCCTAACGAGGGTAATGAGCTCAAAGCCTATCAGACAGCAGAGAACCCACGTGCTCCAGCGGCCGCTCCGGGAGTCGCCCAGTTTTCCCATTAAACGGGTGGGAAAGATTCCCCCCAGGGGAAAGGTCTCCTTGTAAGGGGGTTACGAGACTTTTTCCCTTCTTCCTCCCCCCTAAAGAGGGGTCTCCGCTGCTGCAGTTGCAGGCGATTTGGAAAAGGGACAATTCCGTGGGCGCTGCCGACGTGTCCGGGGGCATAACCCGGTGCCGCGGTGACGGCAGGGGCCAGTTGTGCAATGACCCCGATGCCACGGGTTCTGTAGATCAGTGCATTTTGGGGAAATGGGGGGAAAAATGGAAAGGGGAAATACCGGAATTCACAAGACACCGGATTTCTGCCCCAGCTTGTCCAACCCCGAGCATCGTCACCACGTGGAAGGGACTGCATCTCCCGGGGGGATGGATTGAAACACCACCCTCTCTCTTTGGGGAGATCCCTCTTGGGCACTGATGGGTGGGGAGAGCTGGAGGGGAAAATAACCCAGTTTGGGATCCCCCCTCCCGCTTCACATCCTCCCAGTCGGGGTGTAAGGAACGCCCTTGGCTGATTTTGGGGGGTGACATGGAGCCGGCTTCTCCTCCTGGGCATGGCCCCCCGAAATATCTCAGCCAGCAGCAGCACTGGTAGGCTGGGGTTCAGAGGGACAGTGCAGGTGGACCTGTTTGGCCATGCTGGGAGGATACTGGGTGATGTTTGGCCATGCTGGGAGAAGCTGAGCCATGGTCCAGTGATGCTCAGGCAGGTTGTGGGTCTTGCTTGGGTGACGTACATGATGCTCAGGTGATGCTGGGGGGACACTGGGTGAAGGCCTAGTGATGGTCTTGGCGCTCAGGCGATACTCAGGTGTCTCAGTGGGATGTTCAGGAGATGGTGGGCAGTGCTGGAGGGATGGTGGGTGACACTGGGAGATGCTGGGTGGACACTGGGTGAAGGCCCAGAGGTGCTCTTGGGGCTCAGGCGATGTTCAGGTGTCTCGGTGGGATGCTCAGGAGATGGTGGGCAGTGCTGGAATCTCAGTGAGATGCTCAGGAGATGGTGGGTAGTGCTGGAGGGATGGTGGGTGACTCCAGGAGATGCTGGGGAGATACTTGGGATGCTGAGGAGATACGTGGGATGCTCAGGAGATGTTGGCCAGTGCTGGCAGGATGGCGGGTGACTCCAGGAGTTGCTGGGGAGACACTTGGGATGCTCAGGAGACGCCGGGCAGCACTGGGGGGATGCTGGGTGACTCTGGGAGATGCTGGGGAGATACTTGAGGTGCTCAGGAGATGGTAGCCAGTGCTGTAGGGATGGTGGGTGACTCCAGGAGATGCTGGGAAGACCCTTGTGCTGCTGAGGGGACACGGGCGATGCTGGGACGTTCTGCCAGCTCCACCTGCTGGCACGCCCCGCCTGACACTGGGGGCCAGCACCCGCGCCCCACCGCAGCAGCAGCAGCCCCAAAATCTGAAGAGACCCCAAGGGAGAGGGTCCCCCTGAGCTGCCGGCTGCTGCGTTGGGGGAAAAGCCTCAAATGAGCTGGAGAGACCCCCCGGGGGTGGAATTTGGGTCGCTCTGTGATGGTGCCACAGTCTGCCGGCTCTTCACCCGAGCTGACCCGGCTCGGCTCCCCGCTGCCTGCAACAGACGCTCTTTGAGGCTTGGAAACCAAAGCGGCCGGAGCTTTTCCGGGCTTTTCCAAGGAGCCGGAGAGAGAAAAGCTCGGCCAGCCTGCCAGGATCCCCCCCAGCCTGGCTTCGGGCTCCCCCCTGGGCTGGTGCAGGGCTGCAGGGCCAGCACCGAGGGAGGGCAGCTCCTGACCGGATCCCTGACTTCCACGCCCAGGATCAGACCTTGTTTCCCAAGTGGGGTGGGTGGGCTGGCGTTCTGTAGGATCCGTGCCAAGTGCTGGGAGGATGGAGAAGGGAAGCAAGTTCCTGTTGCCCTTGGCAGAGGCTGCCTGGGAGACGAGCGGGGCTTTCCACGGCTCCCCTCCTCTCCTTTCGCCTGCCAGCGGGATGCTGAGCACCACAAATGAAAAAGGAAAAGCTGCCTCCTCTCCTTTCTCCTGCCAGCGGGATGCTGAGCACCACAAATGAAAAAGGAAAAGCTGCCTGTGAAAAGCAACATGCTTTCTCCAACCACGGTGACTTTTGGGGGGCTCTTGGCAGACCCTGGCACCCCGTGCTGTTCCACTGCGGGCTGAGGGCTTTCCGTGGGGACTTGCTTTGCTCATGGTGTATTTTAGAATCATAGAATGGTTTTGGTTGGAAGGGACCTCAAGGATCATCAAGTTCCAACCCCCTGCCATGGGCAGGGACACCTCCCACCAGACCAGGTTGCTCAAAGCCCCATCCAGCCTGGCCTTGAACCCCTCCAGGGATGGGGCAGCCACAGCTTCCCTGGGCAACCTGGGCCAGGCTCTCACCACCCTCATAGTAAAAAATTTCTTCCTGAGATCTAATCTGAATCTTTTTTCTTCCAATTTAAAACTGTTTCCCCTTGTCCTATTTTCTCTCTCTCTCTCTCTCATTCAGGAAGGCCAGCTCACCTCTCCCACCACACACCCTGCTCTGGACACCAGCAGCACCGTATAAATGGCCTCAAAACGTCACTTGGAGTCCCTGGACCCTGTGATTTTCAACAAGCTACCTCGGCTGGAGACGGAGCCCGCTGCCACCACCACCTTCTGCAAATCCAGCCCCGTGCCCACCCCTGCTCCCGAAAACCATTTCAACTACAAGGGCTCCTACTTCGCCTGCCCCCTGCAGAGCCCCGATGGCCCCGAGCAGCCCTTGGGGCACTGGAGCCCTGCGGCCACCTACCTCCACTATGGCCCTGGGGCTGGCAACCAGCCCGTGCCGGCGGAGGGGCCACTGGTGGGCTGCCTCCTGTACCGCCCCGAGAGCCTGGGGACCGGGCTGCAGCCCCCCCCGGCCACCCAAAAGGGCAAGGACAACCTGATGCGGGAGCTGCTGGTGGCCAGGGAGAAGTGGCCCAGCTCGCCACCAGCTACCGGACACCCCTTCCCGGTGAAGAAACCGGTGGCGGTGAACAAGGCGGCCCCCCTGGCTGTCCCCAAGCCTGTGTACAGACCCCCCGCCTGCTTCTTGGACCCCAGGGTGGCCCTGCCGCTGGGACCCCGGGGGCACAGCCTGCAGCAGAGACCGGGGGACACGGACTGGGGTCTGCCTGCTGCCACCCCCCCAGCCGGCCACCCCCTCCACCCTGGCGACGCCGGGCTGCACAAGAGGGGTCCCCACTCTGAGCACAGCCTCCTGCCGCTGCACCCCAGCCTGGTGCTGCCCACCAAGGAGAAGGTGGGCTCTCCCCTCGCCTTCTCCCCCTACTACACCGCCTTCGAGAAGTACAGGGGCAACAACCCCTTGCTGGAAGCTGGTTGCCCCGTCGCCCACGGCCAGAGGAAGGTCCCCAGCCTCAGCCCGGACCCCTGGCCCAAGCTCCAGCCCCCCGTTGCCAGCCCGGCGTACCGGGAGAGACCACCAGCATGCTACCCCCACACCCACTACCCGCTGCCCCTCCATAAGGCTGCCTTCCTCTACCACCCCCCGCCACCTCCCACCGCCGAGCCACAGCCCTACAAAGCCTTTGGGTTTGCGGGGAGCGGGGAGCCCTTTCCCAGCTCTTACCTGAAGCCCCAAGCCCCACGGAGCTTCTTTCCCACCCCCTTGGACACCTACGTGCCGAGGGCGGCCGGCACCGGCGCGGTGGCATCCCCTCCAGGGCTACCAAGGGACTCTGAGCCACCGCGGCGAGCCGGCTACTTGCCGAGCCCCAACTTTGCCTTCAGCCCCGGTGACACGGCCGTATCGGGGACCTCCTTCGCCGGCGCCGAGCCGGAAAGTCCTCGGGGACGAGGGGCGGGCAGCAGGCACCACAGCGCCTTCCAACCCGTCTGCACCCCCGAGAAGGTGCCCGAAGGCTCCAGTGAAGGGTTTTCTAAAGGAGAAAGGAGCTGGGGGAAACCCAACCCAGGGGAGCAGGACCCCACTTACCACCCCGGGAGGAGGACGGCCAGCCCGGCCCCACAGGAGACCCCCCGTGGAGGACCACCAGCTCCCATCGTCACAGGGAAGGGACATGCCTGCAAGGTCAAGGATGCAGCCAAGGAGCTCGTCCCCCCTTCTCCGGCCACCTCCCCCCCAGAGGGGCTGAAAGCCCCGAGGGAGAGTGAGGTTTCTCCTTCCTCCCCACCCATGCCGGTCATCAACAACGTCTTCAGCCTGGCACCTTACCGAGACTACCTGGAGGGGACCGAGGGCTCAGCCCGGGTCCCCTTCTGCAGGGAGCATCCGCAGGGGGACACCCCACCCCGAAATATGGGGGGCCGCCGGGAGCCCACAGCCCTTGGTGACACCTCGGTGACATCCAGCCTGCTGCCCGCAGGGACGGTGGCCAGCCAGGGGCTGAAGACAGGGAGCGGCGTGGTCCAGAGCCAAGAGGAACGTTGTCATGGAAAGGTCCCCGAAAAACCAAAGCTCACACCCCGAGAGCCGGGGTCCCGGGAGGGCAGCCCTGGTGGGGTGAGGAGTGGGGAGCCGCCCCCTGAGGACATCGTGCTGGACCTCAGCTTGAAGAAAAAAGCTGGGGAGACCCAGGGACCGGTCGGCCGCGCAGAGGGGACACCGGACACGGGGGATGTGGAGGAGGAAAAAGATGGTCCAGGGGGGAAGGTGAGGGTGGGAGAGGGGGCCAAGCCCGGGGGGCTGCCTGTGCTGATCGAGGTGGGCTCCGGGGACAGGAGCAACTTCCAGAGCTCGGCCACCTTCATGTTCAAAAAATACAAGATCCTGCGCTCCCGCCTGCCCACCACTGTGCCCCCCCGGCCGGCCAGCAGCCCCTGTGCCCCCCAGCCCAGCCCACCGCCCCTAACCCCCTTGGCCAGCATCCCCACACCACCGCAGACCCTCCCTGCCTCCCCACCGGCCAGCAGCCCCCCAGCCCCACAAGTTGGTCCCTCAGCTCTGCAGGGGGCTCGCCCAGACCCACAGCAACCCCCGCCGCCCGAAGCCCCCCGTGTGGTGGGAGAGGAGAGCGTCTTGCTGGCCGGGCAGTGTGAGCCCCCTGGCCCGCAGACCTCCGCCGGCCAGTATTTCAGCAGCCTCCACACCTTGCTCTGCGACGTTATTTCGTGCTCGGTGTCCAGGTCCTCCCCGGAGCTCCTGCGGGAGTGGTTGAAGAAGGCAGAGGTGGTGGAGGAGCTTGGAGAGATGCCCAAATCCCCCCCCAAACCCAAGAACGGCTCCAGGATCCCTGAACCTCAGAAGCCCACCAAAGGCAAGGAGATCTGGTTGGCTTTCCAAGACGTGCCCACTCTCCTCACCAACCTGCTGTCTCAGCTGGAGACCTTCATGTTTGCTCGCAAGTGTCCTTTCCCCCACGTAGTCCGGGCAGGGGCCGTCTTCATCCCCATCCACGTGGTGAAGGAGAAGCTCTTCCCCAAGCTCCCTGGGGCCTCCGTTGACCAAGTGCTGCAAGAGCACAAGGTGGAGCTGCGCCCCACCACGCTCTCCGAGGAGAGGCACCTGAGGGACCTGGAGCTGAAGAGCTGCACCTCGCGCATGCTGAAGCTCCTGGCCCTCAAGCAGCTCCCCGACATCTACCCAGACCTGCTGAACCTCTACTGGCACGACTCCATCAGGCAGCAGCTCGGTAGGTAGCCCGGCATTTCCCGTGGAGGGCTGGTGACACCAGTGGCTCCCTGGGACTCTTCCAGGGAAGCTCCAGTCGCATCTGCCTCCTGGATGCTGCTGTTTGGTGGGAACATCCATCACTTGCGTAGTCCCTCAGCATCCTTGTCCTACCAAGGGTTCTGCAGAGTGGAATACTTAGCTTTTCTCCATGGGTTGTGGAGGGACAAAGCTTGAGCTGGGAATGGTGATGGAGCTGGGGGTGGTGGTGGAGCTGGGGGTTGTCATTGCCCACCTGGGTGAGAACAAATCATCGCTGGGGTGTTGAGGAGGTGGTGGTCACCTCCAGGCCACCTCTCTCCCTCCAAGGGCAGTGGGGCTGGGTGGCTCGGGAGCATGCTGGGAGTGGGACAGCATACACCCTACGTGTAGACCTGTCACCCCAGGCTGTCCCATCCCACCGGTGACAGTCCTCCCCCAACCCTGACGCCCTTTTGCTGCTGCTCAAGATCATGGCCAACAACTTGATGTCTTACAGGTTCAAGCGGACAGGCCGGCCAGCCCCCCTCCAAGTAGGTAACTCTCCTTGCGTGTGTGTTTATACGTATTTCTGGGGTTTCTGTGTAGTTCTGAGAAGGTGCATTATCTATTTCTGTGTCTTTGCTGTGACGAGGGGCTGGCTGCAGAGGAGCTCACCAGTGGCCCCGCTGCCCGGGCTGGGCTGGAGGGGGGGATTTGTGGCTGGAGGGGGGGGGGTGGTGGTGGAGCTGGGGGTTGTCATTGCCCACCTGGGTGAGAACAAATCATCGCTGGGGTGTTGAGGAGGTGGTGGTCACCTCCAGGCCACCTCTCTCCCTCCAAGGGCAGTGGGGCTGGGTGGCTCGGGAGCATGCTGGAAGTGGGACAGCATACACCCTACGTGTAGACCTGTCACCCCGGGCTGTCCCATCCCACCGGTGACAGTCCTCCCCCAACCCTGACGCCCTTTTGCTGCTGCTCAAGATCATGGCCAACAACTTGATGTCTTACAGGTTCAAGCGGACAGGCCGGCCAGCCCCCCTCCAAGTAGGTAACTCTCCTTGCGTGTGTGTTTATACGTATTTCTGGGGTTTCTGTGTAGTTCTGAGAAGGTGCATTATCTATTTCTGTGTCTTTGCTGTGACGATGGGCTGGCTGCAGAGGAGCACATCAGTGGTCCCGCTGCCCGGGCTGGGCTGGAAGGGGGGATTTGTGACTGGAGGGGGTCGGGGGGGATTATTCAGGACGGGGAGGTGAAGACCCTGCTGTCCCCAACCGCTCTTTCCTCTCCCAGGTAGCCCTGGCATGAAGGCACTGGAAGTTGATGGCAACCGATGGCCATGAACTGCACGAAAGACAAGGAGGCACTAAGGAACGTGCCGAGGGCAATGTCCAAGCTGCCCAACCACGAGGACAGGAAAGGGAAGGTCCCCAGAGTGGGGTCCCCTCCGGCAGTGACATGGATGCCAAGATGGAGTGGTTGACCACCAGACAACCTGGGGAGAGATGCTTGGCTCCCACTGGCGAGGTGGCTGTGTCCCAGGGTGGCAAGAGGTCCTCCTGGGATGCTGGTGCCTGGAGGCCACGACAGCTCAGGGACACTCCAAGGCCACACGAGCCAGAGAGGCTCCAAGGCCACAAGCAGGGATGGTCACAGCGTGGTCCCCTGGCCCCAGGGGTGGGCTCAAGCCCATTTTGGGGCTTCATTTCTTTTAATGCATCACCTTTTAGTGCGTCTCCCATCTCCATCCACGACCAGGCTGGAGCTGGGAGAGAATGGTGGGAGTCCCAGTGGAGCTGGAGGGCTGGGGCAGCCTTGGGTACCCACCAAAGGAGCATGGAAATGGCCACACCACCGTCCCCAGCCGTGGAGAAAGGCTGGCTACTGCAGGGATGACTTGCTACGTCCCCTCCTCTCTCCTCTAACTCGCCCCCTCCAGCTTTATCCACACCGTTCCCAACAAACCAACCTTCCTCCTGGGCTGTCATCTTCATCCAGAGGCTTAACACCACGTCGAGGGTGGAGGGAATCACAACTTCTGTAGTTACAGGACTGATTTTTTTTTTGTTGTTGTTGTTTTACACGAAGACATTTTAAAAATGTTACAAACTCACCTTCATAAGGAGCTGCTGCCTTCCGGTTACGTGTTGGTTGGTTGTTTCGTTGTTTTTTTTTATAAACATACAGTAATTTATACTTGTTTTTTTATTTAAACTCAACGGCTGCACCCGTTTACTGTGCCTGGGAGCGGTGCTGCTCGGGCTGAGAGCTTTGGCCCCGATTGTAGCTGAAAGAGGCTGCAGGAAAGATCCAGAAACCGTGCCAAGAAACCCAAACCCCTTTGCAGCACAGACACCAGCTGCCCCAAAGGAGACGCACCCCTGGGGACAACCCTTGGTGGCAACGAAGATGTGGAGGACCCAGGTGTGGCTGGAGGGGCAGGAGAGAGGAACGATGCCGTGAGACCTTGGAAGGAGAGATCTTTTCCATCTTGGGAGGGCCTGGAAGTTGGTGGGCATCCCAGGAGGGACCCCGGCAGCCGAGGACAGACGGACGGATGGGTGGACGGATGGACGGGTAGATGGGTGGATGGAGGGTCCACAGCAGAGGCCTTACAAACTCGACACTCAGGTGTTTTTTTTCCCAGCTGATGCGGGGCGTGGAGGAACAAAACGAGGATGACGATGATTATTATTATTAATTTTATTTCACTACAGGAAATATTTATTTTAAACTAAGAAAATGGCGGGGAAAAAAAAAAAAAAAAAAAAAAAAAAAAAAAAAAAAAAATGTACCCAAACTGTACTATAGACTTTTTCTAGCCCAAGGGCTAGGGAGGCGGTGGCTGCCGCATCTCCTGTGGGTGCCTTGCTGGTTTTCTACTGGGATGTACTGGTTGCGCAGGGGACGGAAAGGGGGGGACCCTCACTCTCCCTTGCCATGCCGGGTCCGTGCGTCGCGTTGTAAAGCGATTTGGAAAGCAGTGTTTGTTAATAATGCTGTAATTTTTATATATATATATATATGTGTGCGTGTATATATATATATATATAAGGTTTCAGGGAAGAACGTTCCTTCACTTTATTTAATATTTTGTAAGAATACGAATTTTAAGAGGTGCCTCGCCTGATTAAAAGGGTTTGGCTCATTTTCAAACATGCCGTGCTTCCGTCTCTGCTTGGCAGCGTGGCCACCATGGCACCTTTCTGGGGACCTTGGGGGGGTGGGGGGGCCCAAATCAGTACCCAGCATCTCCCAGCTGGCTGGGGGGGCCACCAAACCCTGCTGGAGATGTGCTTGCCTGCTTCTCCCTGCAACGAGCCACAAGGGATGTTCTCAGCCCCTCCGTCCCATCATCGGAGGGCTGGAACCAGTATCCAACCCATTGATGGGGGTCAGGGTGGTGGGGGTGCAGGACCCACCTCCCAGCACCCACTTGCTGCTGGGGTGACACACCCCCAGGCTGCTTCACCCCTGAGACATCCTGCCCCTCGTGAGCCTCCATCAGAAGCATGAAATCTGCCTGCTCCTGAAGCCAAACACCCCAAGCCATCTTTTTCAACCCAAATTGCTCCAGCCTGGCAGGGGACCAGCCACTGCCACCACCTGCTCCCTGCAAACAGGGCATTTTGAGGAGCAGTTGTGATGTTTGGGGCTGGTGCTTGGGGGCCAACCTGCCTGGAGAAACAGGCACGCACACTACTTCCTCTGCCAAGGGCTTAATGAGGAGCCGAGGGAAGCTGGGACCCCTCCAGCCAGGTGAAGAGCTTCACCTGGGGGAGTGCAAATTACTCAGTGTGTTAATTGGGAGCAGCTGGAATGGAACCACCCCCCTGGGAAATGAGATCAGAGTGGAGGGCTGGGGTGGGGGCTTGGTGTTCTCTTCTCTTCAGGTGCTGCTGGGTAAGGGGTGGTGGTGGGCTGTCATCTTGGTGTCCCTGGTGGGGCTGTCTGAGCCAAGGTGGGTTGTTTGGGCAAGGAATGAGGTCATGTCTGAGCCCGAGGCTGGATCCAACCCTGCTCTGTACCAGGAGATGCTGAGGCTCAGCACAAGCTTGGCTGAGCTGGAGAAGCTGCTCAGTGCTACTGGAGACCAGGGAGATGTTTTGACCAGGGGCCTCCTGGCTCTGGTGTGTGGGATGCTCTGGGGCCAGGTCACTGGGGTGGGCTGGGGGAGCTTGGAGGGCCCCAGTCTGAAGGTCCTGCTGTACCTCTCCACAGCTGTACTCTCCCCATGGCCTCTCCCAAGCAGTGTCCAAGGGTAGGACCACCAGACCCCACCATCAGCCAAAAAGGATGTTCTGGGGCAAGAGGCAAGGGGCTGTGGTTCTTGGAGGACATTTAGTGGCAGCAGCTCTGTGGGAAGGTCTCCATGGCTTACCACTGGACTGGACTGGACAGATTGTGGCTCCAGTTGCCAGGTGAAGATGCTCCTTCCCCTGCTTGCCTCTGTGACGACCAGCTGGATGAGGTGGGAGATGGTGAGAGCAGGAGCATCCCCCCGACACAGAATAGGAGATGAGATTGAGATGAGATGATGGGCAGCCCACCTCCCCTTTGGGGACAGCTTTAGAGAACCAGCCTCCTCCCATTTCACACCCCACCAAAAGAGAGATGTTAGATGGCTTTATCTGGAGCTTCAGACACTTTCAAACAGGGATCCCTTGGGACAATGACTCTGGGGAGGGAGTAGAGCCCCTCACAAGATCTGTCTGGAGCACTTTGCTGAGCAAACCCTTCCCTCCAAGCCAAGAAAGGGAGCCGTGGAAGGCCCCGCTCGTCTCCCAGGCAGCCTCTGCCAAGGGCAACAGGAACTTGCTTCCCTTCTCCATCCTCCCAGCACTTGGCACGGATCCTACAGAACGCCAGCCCACCCACCCCACTTGGGAAACAAGGTCTGATCCTGGGCGTGGAAGTCAGGGATCCGGTCAGGAGCTGCCCTCCCTCCCTCGGTGCTGGCCCCGCAGCCCTGCACCAGCCCAGGGGGGAGCCCGAAGCCAGGCTGGGGGGGATCCTGGCAGGCTGGCCGAGCTTTTCTCTCTCCGGCTCCTTGGAAAAGCCCGGAAAAGCTCCGGCTGCTTTGGTTTCCAAGCCTCAAAGAGCGTCTGTTGCAGGCAGCGGGGAGCTGAGCCGGGTCAGCTCGGGTGAAGAGCCGGCAGACTGTGGGGAGGCACCATCTCAGAGTGCCCCAAATTCCACCCCCGGGGGGTTTCTCCTTTCTGGCTCATTTGAGGCTTTTCCCCCAGCGCAGCAGCCAGACCCCCCAGTTCAGGGGGACCCTCTCCCTTGGGGTCTCTTAAGATTTGGGGCTGCTGCTGCGGTGGGGCGCGGGTGCTGGCCCCCAGTGTCAGGCGGTGCGTGCCAGCAGGTGGAGCTGGGAGAACATCCCAGCATCGCCCGTGTCCCCCCAGCAGCCCACGTGTCTCCCCAGCATCTCCTGGAGTCACCCACCATCCCTCCAGCACTACCCACCATCTCCTGAGCATCTCACTGAGATACCTGAGCATCGCTTGAGCCCCAAGAGCACCTCTGGGCCTTCACCCAGTATCCACCCAGCATCTCCTGGTGTCACCCAGCAGTCCCACCATCCCTCTAGCACTGCCCACCATCTCCTGAGCATCCCACGTATCTCCTCAGCATCCCAAGTGTCTCCCCAGCATCTCCTGGTGTCGCCCAGCATCCCCCCAGTGCTGCCCGGCATCTCCTGAGCATCCCATGTGTCTCCCCAGCATCTCCTGGAGTCACCCACCATCCACCCAGTGCTGCCCCACATCTCCTGAGCATCCCACGTGTCTCCCCAGCATCTCCTGGAGTCACCCACCATCCCTCCAGCACTGCCCACCATCTCCTGAGCATCCCACTGAGACACCTGAGCATCGCTTGAGCCCCAAGAGCACCTCTGGGCCTTCACCCAGTATCCACCCAGCACCTTCTGGTGTCACCCAGCAGCTCCTGAGCACCCCATGTATCTCCTGAGCATCCCAAGTATCTCCCCAGCATCTCCTGGAGTCACCCACCATCCCTCCAGCACTGCCCACCATCTCCTGAGCATCCCACTGAGACACCTGAGCATCGCTTGAGCCCCAAGAGCACCTCTGGGCCTTCACCCAGTATCCACCCAGCATTTCCTGGTGTCACCCAGCAGCTCCTGAACATCCCACTGAGACACCTGAACATTGCTTGAGCCCCAAGAGCATCACTGGGCCTTCACCCAGTATCCCCCCAGCATCACCTGAGCCCCATGTCCTGCCTGAACATCACTGGACCATGGCTCAGCTTCTCCCAAGACCATAGATGGACTTATTGCAGTGGGATCTCACATCTGGTCTTCACACTCCCAATGTGCTTTTTGTTGTTTTTTTTTTTTATTTTAACTTTTTGTGACAAGACTTAGGATGTGCTTTTTGTTGTGGTTTTTTTTTTATTTTATTTTAACTTTTTGTGACAAGACTTAGACCTGAGCCCCATGTCCTGCCTGAACATCACTGGACCATGGCTCAGCTTCTCCCAAGACCATAGATGGACTTATTGCAGTGGGATCTCACATCTGGTCTTCACACTCCCAATTCCTGGTGTCACCCAGCAGCTCCTGAACATCCCACTGAGACACCTGAACATTGCTTGAGCCCCAAGAGCATCACTGGGCCTTCACCCAGTATCCCCCCAGCATCACCTGAGCCCCATGTCCTGCCTGAACATCACTGGACCATGGCTCAGCTTCTCCCAAGACCATAGATGGACTTATTGCAGTGGGATCTCACATCTGGTCTTCACACTCCCAATGTGCTTTTTGTTGTTTTTTTTTTTTATTTTAACTTTTTGTGACAAGACTTAGCAGAGAAGCAAAGAGATGGAGGAAGAGAGCGTGGAGATAAGATAAAAGCCTTGTCCACAGAAGGGGAAACAGAGCAGATAACTGGGGAGGCTTGGGAGGGTAGATAAGGGACGTGAGCGTGGTGGTTCTGCTCCGCAGCGTGGCTGGAGTCCAGAGCCAGACCACTTACAGGCAGAAATGGAGGTCACAGACCTACTGGCCACCCAGCCAGGACAGTGGTGGCCCTGTCATGGTCCTACATGCCCCAAACTGCCTCTCTCCGGACCCAGCTCAAGCCCAGTTGTTTCCCCTGAACAACAGCTCTGGTGTGACCTCTGGTTGGGTTTGTTTTCCAAACTTCACCAATTTCTCCCTTTCCAGGGAGGATGCTGCTTTCCCCAACTCCTCCACCCACTGGAGGCTGCAGAATGAAAATCCCTCCGGAGGGTAGATGAATCCCTCTGGAGAAGGACGCTCGCTTCCCCGCTTGCACCCCCAGCAGCAGCTCCCCAGAGGAACGGGGTTGTGGGGTGGCCGCGGCATTTCCGACACCTTTATCCTCGGGAGCCTCGGGGCAGGTGCCAAAACATCCAGTACCAGTTAAATTTGCCATTGCTTAGATCCAGGGAAAATTGAAATTGAGTAAGATTGGAGGAAAAAAACCCCAAACCCCTCCTTTCCACATGAGACCAGAGCTTGACCCGCACTGTCCCTCTGAGCTCCAGCCCACCAGCGCTGCTGCTGGCTGAGATATTTTGGGGGGGCCATGCCCAGGAGGAGAAGCTGGCTCTGTGTCACCCCCCAAAATGAGCCAAGGGCGTTCCTTACACCCCAACTGGAAGGATGAGAAGTGGGAGGGGGGTCCCAAACTGGGTTATTTTCCCCTCCAGCTCTCCCCACCCACCAGTGGCCAAAAGGGATCTCCCCCAAGAGAGAGGGTGGTGTTTCAATCCGTCCCCTTTCAC